CCCTAACGGTCACAAGAACAATAATGGCAAGCAAGTGAAAGACAAAATCCAACCTCATCATAGGCAAAGGAACCAACTTTTACCCATTTTAGTTCTGGTTGCAACAAATCGTACTATCATTTAAGCATCATTTCATTTGCGCCCATTAGAACAAGAAATGCAAACACGTGAGAGGCTAAATAAATCCCTTCAAACTTGAGCAGCAACAAATATAGGTTAACAATAAAACAAAGTTACGGGCAAGAAAATAAAAGAAGGAAAGTGTGGAGAAACAAACCCGTCTTTCCCAGTAAGGAAGGAAGCAGACAAAATCATAGACAGGAGTAATGGTTGAGACCAAGACAACGTTGAGGCCGGTGAACACTAACAGCGCTGTCATAGGCCGTGTTCTGTGGGGCATCTGTGCTTTATCCTCTGCAAATCAGTAAGCTATAGAATTTTATTTAATAGTGATTTGATTGATCAATTTCCAAAAAACCCATCTTAGAAAAACAAAAGATAAGAAAGGAAAGGAAAGGAAAGAAGACACAAAAAAAGGTACATGGAATTGAGAAATTAGCGAGGCGACGCAAGGCAACAGTCGGGAGGCTGGAAGTGGTGGAAACGGCTCGTTACGAACTCAGAGCAGAGCTGCACAGTGCACAATACACTGTTGTTTTCACTGTTGAACCTCGTGGCTTGGGGTTTTAAAGGACGGTTTAGGCTTCACGTTCTCCCAAGCCAAAAAAAAAGGGTGACTGAATACTTGACACAAAGTCCCACTACATGTCTAATTCAATTCATAAAATTGATAAAGTGATAAGAAGATTTATATTTATATATTTATTTTTATTAATATAATATTTATAATATTTAATTAAAAATTTAAATTCATGATAAGTAATATTAAAATATATTTGATTTTTTTTTATGTGAAAAATAACAGGGTTGAAATAAATCGAGTAAAATATTATAAATTTTATATGAAAAGAGATGAGATATATCTAAAATATTAAAGATAAGTTTTTATTATTTATTAAATATAATTTTTAAATTAAAAATATGAATCTGTATCACCCACATTCACTTTCACTCAAATTTATGCTACTTATATAAGACGAGAAATGTTATTTTTTTTTCTCTTTATTTGTTTGATTACCCTGAAAAAATGTTTGACATTACTTGACCAATGCTCATGTGTCCTCAAACTCTGATCTGACCGATTCACGTCCTTTTAAGGGCTAGAATTTCAGAGGAAATCTCTAGGCCAGTGTATTGTTTTTTCTGGATTTTTTTAATGAAGTATTTTTGCTATGAGACTCCATGTTCATTGCTTTACCACGAAGCTAATCAGACTTTGCCTGGAACCTCATTACTAATACAACTATGACTGTCCCCCGGAGATGGTCTGACTGATCACTTGACCTACACATCCACCCTTTTCTTTTTCTCAGTTGTTTTATTGTATACTTGTACAAGCTTTTTCCTTTTTATTTGTTTGTCATTCCCTGTTTGGCTTCCGGTACTTTGAAACCATGAAAACTTTTTTAACATTACCTTTTGACCAATTCTGGCATCCTCAAACTCTTACTTGATCAATTCCACTCTTTTTCAGAACTAGTCTTCCACAGTAAATCCCCCAGACTAATAAATCGTCTTGAAAATATATTAATCTTTTCTCAATTAAGTTGTTATTATTTGACTGCTGTATTTTGACTATTATCTCAGCTCCTTCAACAAACGATTAAAAAAACAGTACCAGGGATGGTCCACTGTTAGCATGGACCAAGTAGCTTTTGAGTTCCCTCTTTGGCCTTCACAAGCCTATAAAAGCCTCAAAGTTCCTTTGCTGGAAACATAGAACTCAAAACACACACAATTTTTTTTTTTGGAGAAGATGGTTTGTCAATATTTAGTTGGAGGACTTCTTGCTTCTGTCTTGGGTCTTGTTTTGATGTACAAGAAAATTCACAACAGTTTTTCTTCGAGGAATAATCAGCAGGAGAACTGTTTGATGAGCTTTGATGAGGGAATAACCCATGATTCAGAGATAGGTGAGAATGTGGATATAATCATTGTTGGGGCAGGCGTTGCTGGTTCTGCCCTTGCGTACACTCTTGGCAAGGTGATAAATAAGTCTCTTCCTCTTTAACAATCTCTGTTGTTCTCTTGATTTCCTTTCTTTTCTCTCATTCGTTTAACGAGTTCAAATGCTTCCTAAAATGCATTTTTGGTGCTCTTGCCTTTGAGAGTAATGCTGATGGAACATGTTTTTTACTGATCACTATTGAAGGATGGACGCCGAGTGAAAGTGATTGAGAGAGACTTGACTGAACCTGATAGAATTGTTGGAGAACTTCTACAACCAGGAGGTTACCTGAAATTGATGGAGTTGGGGCTTGAGGGTAAGCAAAAAGGATTATCTTGTATGATTTATGAAATTGCATATATTGTTATGGAAATTTGTTATGCACTCTTATTTCTGTATAAAATGCAAATGGAATACCAGTAACCAATCATAGAAATAGGCACTGTGGTTATAGTAATATGTGATGTAAGCTATATGTATGTGGTTGCAGATTGTGTGAATGAGATTGATGCTCAGCGCGTATTTGGATATGCTCTGTTTAAGGATGGGAAAAGCACTAAACTATCATATCCCTTGCAACATTTCGAGTCAGATGTTGCAGGGAGAAGCTTCCATAATGGACGTTTCATTCAAAGAATGAGAGAAAAAGCATCAACCCTTCCCAAGTATCATATCTGATCCCCTAAAATTTAGCCAAGTTAGTAGTGATTTATAATATCAATTCCTTACTTATTTTCATTGTCGATCAAATTTGTCTTTACAGTGTCAAACTAGAACAAGGAACTGTCACATCTCTAATTGCCGAGAATGGAACTGTGAAAGGGGTGCAGTACAAAACCAAGAATGGTCAAGAGCTGATAGCTAAAGCTCCCCTCACAGTTGTATGTGATGGATGCTTCTCAAATTTAAGACGCTCTCTCTGCAATCCAAAGGTGATATGTAAATAATTTTTATTCAATTAGAATCTGTCATGAAGTTAATCAACTGTTATATATGTCACACTCTTTTATTTGAAATAAAGGTTCATAAATGTGCCAGATTTCTTTGAGAAATTGTCTTCCATTGTTTCACTCAAGTGTTCCTTCTGCCTATATTGCGCAATATTCTTTAGTGTTTGTATTCATTTAATAAATATATCTGCAGGTTGATATCCCCTCTTGTTTTGTTGCTTTGGTGCTGGAGAACTGTAAGCTTCCATATGCAAATCATGGACATGTTATCTTGGCGGATCCTTCCCCTATCCTGTTTTATCCTATCAGTAGCACAGAGGTTCGTTGTTTGGTTGATGTACCTGGACAAAAAGTTCCCTCCATTTCTAATGGCGAAATGTCTCATTTCTTGAAAACTGTGGTGGCCCCTCAGGTGTGAAGTCTTAATCACTTTCTTTTTGCATATTTAACTTGGTTGCTTTATTATGTTGCTTTCTTTGATTCGGTGAATCAGAATAGAGGAAGAGTCTGTTTTCTTAGTTTACCATTCTATATGTTTTCTCAATGTGCTGGATCATTTTGATTTTCTATTAATGATGTTGGCTTCAACAAGAACACATTGTTGTTTTAAGCATTTCTGTTGAATTTTTACTTGGGACTAATAAAAGGAGTCTGCATGCATGCCAGATTCCCCCTGAGCTATACAATGCTTTCATATCTGCAATTGATAATGGCAACATAAGAACAATGCCTAATAGGAGTATGCCTGCTGCTCCATATCCAACTCCTGGTGCACTTCTGATGGGAGACGCATTTAACATGAGGCATCCTTTGACTGGTGGAGGAATGACTGTGGCACTGTCAGATATCGTTGTGCTAAGAGACCTTCTTAGACCTCTTCACGATTTGAATGACGCATCTGCCTTGTGTAATTATCTGGAATCCTTCTACACTCTACGTAAGGTAAGCAAAATATAACTCTGTATCTTACACATATTTCTGCACTTTATCTTACACGAGGAAATCACATGCTCAAAGCTAAGTACTGCAAAATTAGAATTATACAACCGATAATTGAGGAATCAAATACTGTATGGACTTTTTATTTCAGCCTACAGCATCTACCATAAATACTCTTGCTGGTGCTCTCTACAAGGTGTTTAGTGGATCATCTGATCCAGCAAGGAGAGAAATGCGCCAAGCATGCTTCGATTATTTAAGCCTTGGTGGTGTTTTTTCAAATGGACCGATAGCTTTACTCTCTGGTATGAATCCTCACCCAGTGAACTTGATCCTACACTTCTTCGCTGTGGCTATATATGGCGTTGGGCGCTTACTGCTTCCATTCCCTTCATTCAAACGTCTTCTACTTGGAGCTAGATTAATTTCGGTTTGTATCTTCATTTTCTTGTAATTTCTTCTCTTGTGTATTCATTCCTTAGTCTATGATCTTCTACATTTTAAATTATTCAACGTAATCTAATACGAATTCTTGATTTTTCACATTATTCAGGGTGCATCAAGCATCATTTTCCCTATACTCAAGGCTGAAGGAGTTAGACAAGTGTTCTTCCCTGTAACCATACCAGCTTATTACAGAGTTCCTCCTGTTAATCTGTGACAACAGGAAACACCAGAACATGAGAAGGAAAATATATACCACCAAAATTGTATTTTAGCACCATCAAATTCGTTTACATGAGTTAATTTTTTTAATTTTTATCTGTAGTATACCATCTCTTGTCAAAAATAGAGATGGGGATCTGTAACACTGACAAAAAATTCCATTTGATTTAACAGCTACTTCTAGATTTCTAGGACTTAAAGCTGTTGAGTTGTTTTTAAATTGAAGTTGTAAATTTTCCATACTAAATGGACTTAATTTTGAGTATATGGCAGGTGCTTGCTTCACCCAGTGATATGATTGCATAAGTCTCTAAGTTGCTTCACTATTTATATGTGTGCCATTGGACTGTCATATATGAGTTACAAGCTGGTTTTTCCTGAAAGAAAATGTGCTTGTTGAATGAGCAGATTCACAACAACCACAATCAAGAAAAAATTTAAAAATGTATCATCATGCTTACAAGCATCAATTGAAAGCCTCAAACTCAAGTAAGAAACTTCAAAGTGTATCAAATTGCTGAATAAATATGTATGAAACTATCTTGATCTTTCACTTCAAATTCGTGTTGCATCGAACCAGCTTGCATTCTTCTTGTAGATATTAAACATTTTGATTCAGGATCTTCCTTGGCCATGAAATTCTTCATCCAGACCAACTATAGCAGAGGAAGGCCAGGTATGATGCACCACATAAGTACCAGCTGTGATTACAATTCAGGTCTTTCTGTTCTAAATAAATGCGATAATTAACTTCCATATATATTTTAGGAAGCCACGAAGAGAAAGAAAGGAAAAGCTTGTCAGTATTTCTTTATCTGCAGTTATGATGATCTAAAAGAGTATTGTTTTTAATGTAAAAAATTCATTGCTTTTGGATTCTATTCGATTGAGTTAAAACTTGGTATTGCTGTATCCTACCAGGTCCGCTGACAGCTTCTCTCTCCGATGGCTTATTCAAATCAACATGTTCCATGGCAAAAAAAGGTTGGAACACCTTCTATATGCGTACCCCATTCAAACGTCCACTCTTTGAAATTGCACTCCATTCCAAATGCTTGAGCCTGGGATTAGAAATTTTAAACAGTTGCCTATAAACACAAACCTGCTAGACCCATATGTTTTGCTTTCGGTGCCTGATTGAGATCAAGACAAAAAACACAAAAAAAAGGACAAGTAGAAGGCGATGAAGCCTTTTTTTGGTATAGCTGGAACACTTCTTCCCTTGCCGACCTTTTGTTCAAATTAACATGGACTTGGCTTAAACCCTCCGACAAAAATTCTGTCCTTTTCTCTAGGTATTGATTTTTTCTAAGAAAGCCTGTAACCGTACGTATCGATGGTGCCAAATATATGTCAAGATTTTAACTGTCTTTGATAGTAGATGTTTCTTTCTATCATCATTTTCCCAAGAAGGATGGGGCACGGAAGCAGCCAAAGTGAGACGACTTTGTGTAATTTGCAGATATTTTAGGCTCTAAATTACTATTTTAGTTTGAGGGATATCGATTGAATAAGCTAAGCTAATTAGGAATATCAGCCAGAAAAACAAATCTTTGTGTTTTCACACAAATTCTTTGTCAACCTATACTTTTCCTTTGAGAAGTCAGCCTATAGTTTGTGTAATATATGTAATTGCATTTGCTATTATGGACATATCTAATTCTCTGAACGACTGCCTTTGGTTCCATGCAGCTACGTATCAATAAAATAACAGGGCGGCCAGAAATATGCTGCAAGCAGCACTAACCTGAGCCTCGGTCTGTCACAACTGTCAAAGGATCAACATTGTTTTGTCCAATTTTCCTCGTAGAGCGCTCAAATGATTTATGCCTGAAAATCAGCCCCTAAAAGAAATTGTATATACAAGCTAATTAAACTAAAGTTTCCCTCATTCAATCCACCAGCAAGATGTTAAAGTTTCAGCTTTTTCTTTTCCTTCTCTTCGGAATTCTGTTCTTCTCAGGGCAATTTTGCGGTACGTATCTAATGGGCATCTGGTTCTGTATGCAGGTTAACTTTTTTCCCTCTCAGATCTTAACTTCAGACTAACAAAAAAAAAAGAAAAATACCATTGCTTGTCTACAAATTCTAGTCATAATGCCAACTAAATATTGTAACATACATATGAACATACTTAAAAATTTTAATCAGTCTATTGGTTTCCCAGCATGTTCTTCATCTATTGTGTAATATGGTTCAGATGGCAAGGTGATGATGGAGTACATTGGAGCCACTGGCGTTCCTGTTAGATTTGATCCTGTTCCAATTGAAGATGGAATTGATTTCCACTTCATTCTTAGTTTTGCTGTTGATGCTAATCCCTCTGGCAATGCCCAGAATGGCAAATTCTCACCATATTGGGCAGACACATTAACCCCAGAATCTGTTGCAGCAATCAAGAAGCAGCACCCCAATGTGAAAGTCATGGCCAGCCTTTCCGGATGGAGCTTAGGAGATAAAGTCCTCCGTTGGTACAACCCTGTCGACATCCAGCTATGGATATCTAATGCCTTTTCATCATTGAAATCAATAGCTGAAGAATATCATCTTGATGGTGTTGACATCGACTATGAAAACTTCCCGAAACGTAATTCAACTTTTGCTTATTGCATAGGTGAACTCATCACCTTCCTGAAGAACCAAAGTGTCATTTCTATAGCCACCATTGCTCCGTTTCACACTACAACTACACCCTACATTGAGCTGTTTGAGAATTATGGAGATGTAATTGACTTTGTCAACTATCAGTTCTATACTGATAAGGTTAGGAAACCAAAAGGGTACTTGGAAGCTTTCGAGCTTCGAGCTGAACAATTCGATAAGGATAAGTTGTTGCCCAGCTATGAAGTCAATGGGAGGGGAATTCAAGGTGATGCATTTTTTGATGCCTTGAGTCTTTTGGAGGAAAATGAGTTTACTGTTAATGGAGTTATGATCTTCTCAGCCGATGCTTCTTCCTCCAATGACTACTACTATGAGAGGAAATCACAAGATTTCTTGTTAAATTCTACTAGCGTATGACGTTGCTGCGCAAATTTTACATATAATAAGTTAAAATAAATTTGGCCACAGGTGAGTTATAATGTGTACGTATTGCTGTAATGAAGATGAATTTGTCAGATAAATAATATTCAATTCTTTGGTAAATAGTTACTTTTGGTCTGGTTTAAGAAATGAATTGATAACATATTTCTTGATCTCAAAATGTGATGGTATGATTGACTATCTGTACTATTTACAACCCATTTTTTTTTATGTTACCTTGCTAAATTGAATTATTATCAGTACTAAAGAAAAGTGATTTTATTATTCATAGCCGGAATGCTATATGAAATCTCCCGCCTAATTGACGAGACTCTGATGACATTGAAACCCGGTTTGGGAGAAAGTCTGTACATACAAACAGAGTTGCTACTCGTGGCTGTTAAAGAAACCCGGTTTAGTTATTTGTTTGATATCCTGTGTAGGATCCTTGGCTTTTGGTTGGCCTTGCTTTGGATCCTTCGCTGCTTTTGTGTGCTGCCTGTGTTGGATGTGCAATGTAACTTTTGCAATTGTTCAGTTATTTTGCCCTCATCAGGTGCTCTATGTCACAAAAGTTCCTGATCAATTAAGCTAAAGACTTGTTATGACATTACTGGTGGTGGATGAATAAAATTCACCTTTAAAAAAAAAAACAACAATCAGCATCTGTAGATGCTCAGAAACAAAGATAAGGGTCACAGCAGACTGAATCAAACAAAAAACCAAAGCCTAACCAGGGAACAAATGAACTCCAAAGCTAGTATAATCAAAAATCAAGTGATCGCCGAAATTGGAAACCGCTTTCCTCCACAGCAAGAACATGAAGCCGACAGCGAAAACTCAAACCTTAACTGCCATGCATGAAAGAGCATTTGCTACTCCAACAGACACCAACCTCCAGCAACACAATCTGAGCCGCAACCTTGAAGAACCTGAGCAGAAAACCACGAACAAACAGCCAGCTCAAGCAATCATCTCCTCAAAAAAACAAGCCCCCCATGAGGCCCATAACCAACCTCCAAGTCACCACAAGAGAGAAAAGAAATTATGATTTTACTTCAATATAAATGGTGAAATCATTAATTTCATTCGAATTAATAATTACTCTCGAATTTTATGTTGTTGTTTTAGTTATTACTTCATTAAATTTTAAAAGAATAAAAAATAAATGGTAACACTCATGTCAGAAGAAAGGTAATTGCACATAGAAGAAATTGAGATCAGGCAGCAGCAGGGGGAAGCATAAGAAATTCAACTAGGGAATGGCAAGGTGGCTGTGCAATAAAACTAGACAGATGCATTGCATACCACGCAGAATTGTGGGGTGCATATAAAGGATTGAGGTTGGCATGGGAGTTGGGATTCCGCAAGATTGATCTATAAATTGATAGCCTGTTAGTAGTTAATGCCATTTCTTCACAGTTAATGAATCCATGTGTCAACTCAGACCTTATAAACTCCATCAAGATGCTTCTTCAAAGACAATGGGATGTTCATATAAGACATGTAAACAGGGAAGGGAATGTCTTAGCAGACTTAATTGCAAATAGGGGTTCTCTTTGGAGGAATTTTTTTATTTTATAATTTCAATATAAATAATTTCTTTCCCAAAAAAAAAAAGATATATATATTTTACAAAAAATTTGTATAAATGAAAAGAGAAAAGTAGGAGAAGATTAAAATGAAATTCATTAAACCAAGCAACAAAACAGACACTATTCGAAACATTACAAATTGGAATAATGAACCCCAACTAGCACAATCAACGAGGCTGTCTTTAGAGTAAATTGCTAAATATAAAATGAAGCTTAGACTACATTTTCCTCAATGACACATGAAACGAGAATGGAAATACCAATAATACCTACTCTATCCTAGCAATAGGGTAACAGAGATAAAATCCTCGGAGGACCTTTCACTTTCACATTTTTTTCATCGATTACTCTCTTAATATCTTCAGCTATGGCCTTGGCATCCATTGACACGCCAAACAGTCCCCTCCTTGACAATCCACAACAATACAGGTTCTTTTCGCCCTTCCAGTGGTGTGGAAAATTATTTTTAGGCAACCCAGTTTCATTGAGAACATGTTCATAATCCTGTAGAAAATATCAATACCATATTTTTCAGCCCATTAAAGCACATGGTTTCATAATCTTTTCTGTCTAAAGGAAAAGAAATGGAAAAAGAAAGAGTGGAATTTGTAAAATTTTACCTTGAGCCATTCATTAGCTATGCTTCTATAGCCAGTTGCAAAAACGATTGCATCAAACTCTCTCTCAGCACCATCCTCAAGCAACACCTTCTTCCCGTTAATGCTAGATATCCCTGGAACAACCTATCAAGCATGACAGAAATAAAGAGCATGAGAATACATAATTGGAGCTAATTTATCAACTTTAATTTAATAATGTTTCCAAGTGATCTGCCAATGTCAAATCCATCTCCGATTAGCAATTGCATTTCTTATTTGAAGGGGAAAAACCACCTTAATTACATTGATTTTGACTCCCTATTTTAATAATTTGAAGTAATAGGAACACGAATTGATTTTTGCTCTCTACAAATAATAAAGTTCAGCCTTCCATGAAAGATGACAGGTAAACAAAGTACTTAACTAATTAAAAGATTTTTATCTTATAAATTTCTGAGGGTAAAATCTAAAAATTTTATAAATAAATTTAAATATATGTTACGTGTTTAAATGTTCTAGTATCACTTACTTTTTTTTTAAAAAAAATGTTACAGTATCACCAGCACGTGGGAGACTCATAATTAATTAAATGCTTCTAAATAAAATTCTATTAGTTCATAGATAATATGAAGTGTAGCCTATCATGATAGATAAATAAAGTACTTAATTAGAAGGGTTTTATCCGCTAAATTGACGGAAGAATTTAATAATTTCACACGTTTAAATATTGTCAATAATTTATAAGAAAATAATACTAAATTAAATGCATATGACCAAAAAAAAAATCTATTAGCTCATAGGTAATTAAAAATATCTAGCAACAAATAAAATATATAGTTTATAATCATTTTATGCTTAAGAATTAGGCAACAAAAAAAAATTTAACACGAAGAGGAAAAAAAAAGAAGAAACACAATATTGGCATTAATAGGAATTCGATTTTATTGACCTTTATCTCTTTAGACTTGATCTTCTCAACAGTTCCAACATCAATTACTGGTGCTCTTCCCGCTGTTGCTTTGAGATAGAAAGGACCTTCCTTTGGTCGACGGATTCCATACTTGGATAGGTCACCATACTTTATATTTGCCATCAGTAACACGATGAAATCCACCACAAAAACGGGCAGATACTTGGAGATTACCATCCCTAGACGCACCATCTCTTTGCTTACCACATGAAACTGCAAAAGAAGTGCCTGATTTAAGATAGTTTTTTTCTTTTCAAAATCGAATTTAAGGATCATTAGATAACCTTTGAGGAAAAAACAATGAAAGCAGATCAACAATAACAAAAATTGCATGTCTCGGTGACGATGTGTTTGATGCTAATATTAGAGAAGCAGACAACATCCCTTTGCATGCAAGAGATGAAGACAGGGAGAGCGAGGGTCTTACAGGATTTCTGATAACAATTGAAGTCTGAGCTCCAAAAGTTGAAAGGTCATAAGATATTTCCATACCCGAATTACCGCATCCTATGACCAAAACATCCTTGTTTGCATACTTGGAGCCAGATTTATACTCGTTAGAATGGATCATTTCTCCCTTGAAGCTGTACAACCCTGGAAGGTCAGGAATGTACTTGGCACTATTTTCACCAGAAGCAATCACCAAGAACTCAGCAACATAAACTTCCACATCCCCTGATTTCATGTTCCTGGCTAAGATTCTCCATTTCCCATCGACTTCCTCATAACAAGCAGATTCAACAGATCGATGATATAGAGGTTGGATGTTGAAGGTTGAAACATATTCATCCAGGTACTTAACAAACATGTCTTTTGGTATATAGGTGGGGCTATCGGCTAAGTGAGGCATGTACGGAAGTGAACAAAATTCTTTGGCTAAATGGAGTTTCAAGCGATCATAAGCTCTTTTCTTCCAAAGAGAAGCGTAAATATCTTCTCTTTCAAGGATTACGTGGGGAATGGAGTGAGCTGATAGGCATACAGAAGTTGCAAGACCAGAAGGTCCAGCTCCAACAATCAGTACCATATTCTCCATATCTTTTCTTTGGTATCTAAAAGAAACTCTTGGGGGTGAAATGATGGGTAGTAGTGAAGAATCACAATTTATAATGAATTGTAGGGTTTTTCATATACGGAATGAGTAATGACAGAAAATCTGCATTTCTTTATACATGGATTCTCAATTTTAATTGATTTTCCATTATTGCAGGCGCCATTTTTCAGTGTTTTTTGAATCTTGCCACCTCATTGGATGTTAGTACTCACTTTCTATATATCTCTACCATTCTTAACATATATATCTCTACCATTCTTAACATATATATCTCTACCATTCTCAACATATATATATTAAGCCTCCTTATTGAGACAAATTTACTAACTTTTCTTACCATATAAAATTAATGTATGTGGTCAAGTGGGGATGATATACGACTGTATTTGGACTGTATTTTATTGATTTCAACTCAGATGCATGCATTTTACTTGCATAGGCAACCTTTGGGCTTTTTGCTGAAAGGATTTGCCGTTTACTGTAATCTTTCGATGATAAAATGAACTTTATTTGGATGCGGAAAAAAAAGTGAAAATCATACTGATGTTTTTGATAAAAAGGAAAAATAGTAAGAAAATAAACAAAAAAAGAAATAGATAATACTAAAAGTTTAATGTTTGTAAAGGTAAAATTATAATATATTTTTAAAAAATAAAAACAAAATTATAAAATTTAAAAAAATAGATAAGAAAATTTTAAAATTTTAAAACTTTGTAGAGAGCCCTAATGGCCCCCTCTCCGCCTTTACAATACAGGTTCAAGTGGCAAGCCTCTGCAATGCAGGGTCAGGTGGCAAGCAAACTAATGACTGAAATGGAGAGAAGTGGCATGAAGGAGTAAAGTAAACCCTAGTGAGAGTGTCGAAGTATGAATTTGGAGTGGTGAGTAGAAAGTTTGCAGTAAGAACTAAGAGGGATAGTGGGAAAGTGCAAAGGGACTTGAGTTGTGCATAGATATTAGGAAGTTAGTAGCTATGAGGAGAATAAATGTATGTGGGCTGGATGTGCAGTTAATCCATATGGGAAAATGTTAGTAGATCACTTCATTTTCATAGAAAAACCATGAACAGTGTTGAAGAATGATTCTTAATCTAGAATTAAGCTTGCTGGAGTCATTGGCGGGAAGCTTTAGTGTGTTTCTTTGAAGAAGAATGTGGAAACAAAACGTTGCCGTTCATGACTTTAGTAGCTAAGTGCTATACACTTGTTCATAGTGTCGTTTAGCTTGTTTCTTATTTTACCATTGCTATAGACACTGTTATGTTATTGTTTTGGTTTAGTCTTGTTTTAGTTGAGTCCTGTACACATCCTTCGTGTGCTGTTTTAAGTTTGGTTCATCATTTCCATTTTCAAGGCTAACAATCATAGGCGTTTGGTTTCCTTTATTGTTGAAGCTATGCATTGATTGTAGTGAAGTTTTTCTTCTTGATCCGGTTTATTAGGAAAGGTTGTAATTGATCAGTGTAAATACAAATTTGAAAATTAGATCCATGCTTTTTGGAGCAAAAACAAACTTTCCAATTCAAGTTAATTCTTCTTTTTGGTTTGATGCTCTATTCTTCTTTAGTTGTTTTTGAATTTCTCTCAACATTTCCAGAAAAGCTTTTGTTCATTTTTTCTTTAAATGGAATCAGAGCATTAAAGTGATCTTAAGGGCCTAGTTTCAATCATTTTTTTTATATATACCATGACTTCCTATTTCAATTCATCTACTCCACCAAAGTTCACTAGAGAGAATTATTCTTTCTAGAGTGTAAAGATGGAGTACTATCTCAAAGCTTTCATGCTTTGGGAAGCTGTGGAAACTGATGACAAACCTATACAAAGAAAAGCTAATCCGACTTTAACTCAAATCAGGCAATTTAAAAAGACAAAGCAAAAAAGTCTAAAGCTCTGTCCTGCCTACATTCAATTGTATCTGATGAAATTTTTGCTCGAATTATGCATTTAAAAACTCCTAAGTAGGTTTGGGATTATTTAGGGATGAATTTTTTGGAAATGACAGAACTAAGCAAATTGAAGCTTTTAACTTAACTCAAAAGTTTGAAATGCTTAAAATGGAGGATAATGAAATATTAAAGACTTTTCTGGAAAAATGATGGGACTAGTAAATAAATTGAGTTACTAGGGACAGAAATTACTGAAGATAGATTAGTCAGTAAGATGTTAGTGAGCTTGCTTGAAAAATATGAATCAAAGGTGTCTTTATTAGAATACTCTAAAGATCTTGCTTAAATAACTCTAAAAGAATTAGTGAATGCTTTGGATGGTCTTGAACAGAGAAAAGATTTTGGGTAGAAGAGTGCAACTGATTTTGCCTTAATTGCTAAAACTAAAACTATGAAAGAGGGTGAAAGAAGTTTAAAAAGTAGTTCAACTGATAAAAAAAAATAAAGGAAAGAAGACTGGAGAGGATAGATAGGGAGATAAGAAGAAAGAGTTTCCACCATGTAAATACTGTAAGAAAACCAATCATACTAAAAGGTTTTATTGGTTTATACCAAATGTTGTATGCATAGCTTATAGTCAACAAGGACATGTTGAAAAAGCATGCAAGCACCGTTTTAAAGTGAAAAAGAAAGCTATTGTAGCTAAACAAATAGAGGATGATAGAGGTACTGCTTAAGGCTATTAGTGGAGAAATTCAAGTAAAACCAACATTTAGTTATTGGACAGTGCTTGTTCACATCGCTTAACTGGTAATAAATCTCTTTTTTCCACTTTTGACACTATCTTTAAGTCAAAAGTGAAGATTGGAGATGGCAATTACTTGGATATATTGGGTGCTAGTATTGTCAATGTTAACACTGCTTCAGGTAGTAAGTGTATTAATAGTGTGCAGTATGTGCCTAGGGCTAATTGCAATCTATTAAGTGTGGGATAGTTAGCCAAAGAACACTATACTTTGCTGTTTACAGATGAAGTATGCATAGTTGTTGATCCTAATGGAGGTGAGATGTGTATTGTTGCCATGAGGAACAATTGTTATCCTCTTAATTTAGCTAATACTACTCATTTGGCCTTGTATAATGAACTAGATATGTCAAAGACGTGGCACAAGAGATTAGGTCATATAAACTACTGTTCCTTGTCTCTTATGTCATCAAAGAACATGATGGAAAGCTTACTTGGAATCACAAAACCAGATCAGCTTTGTCAAGCTTCAATTTGGAAAGCAGACTAGGAAACCATTTCTTAAACAAAACTGTTGGAAGGCTACCAAGAAACTTGAGTTGGTGCATACAGACCTTAGTGGACCAATTAAAACCTCTTCACTAAGTTAAAGCAAGTCCTATATCATCTTTATTGATGATTAAGAATTATGGGGTTATGTTGAAAAATAATTCTTAATATGGAATTAAGCTTGTTGGAGTCATTGGCGGGAAGCTTTAGTGTGTTTCCTCGAAGAAGAATGTGGAAGCAAAATGTTGCTATTCATGATTTAAGTAGCTGAGTGCTATACACTGGTTCATAGTGTCGTTTAGCTTGTTTCTTATTTTTACCGTTGCTATACGCATTGTTATGTTGTTGTTTTTGTTTAGTCTTGTTTTAGTTGAGTCCTATACACATCCTTTAGGTGTCGTTTTAAGTCTGATTCATCATTTCTATTTTCAAGGCTAACAGTCATGGGTGTCTGGTTTACTTTACTGTTGAAGCTATGCATTGATTGTAATGAAGTTTTCCTTCTTGATCCTGTTTATTAGCAAAGGTTGTAATTGATCTATATAAATACAAATTTGAAAATGAGATCCATGCTTTTTGGATTAAAAACAAACTTTCCGGTTTAAATTAATTCTTTTTTTTTATTTGATGCTTTATTCTTCTTCAGTTTTTTTTGAATTTCTCTCAACATTTCCAAAAAAGCCTTTGCTCATCTTTTGTCAAACAGCATCCAAACCGTCAACCCACAAAACCGCTCGAAGAGCATGAAGACTAGACAAACTGGTCCTACATCGCCTGCAATCCAAAACCCCCACCTTCCCAATCCAGAGCACACCAAGGGAAGAAAAAACCTCCAAGCACCAACAAACACCGTCAACCCAGAGACAATCAAACACAAAACACCCAACAGACAAAACATCGATACTCACATGATAAAACAAACACGCTGTCAGAATCGACCACCTCAACCTTACGTCAACCACCAAGAGAAAGCCTGCAAATCTCCAAAAAGGTCAATGGAATAGAAAGCACGGACAAAGGCGACGAAGACCACCCTTACCCTCATTGAACGAGTGACAACCTTACCCTCTTCGGCATTTTGAACCAATTTCCCACCTTCATGATAATGGAACACCATAGCAAAACTTGTGGTGATACCTTCAAATCGGCACACTCATTGGAGGGAGTGGTCAATGCTAGTGCTCTACCGCACTGTTCAACCTAGCCTTTCTATCTGCTCTTTCCAATTCCATCAACTTTTGAATTACAGCTTCCTCTTCATCTTGGAACGTTAAACCCAACATTTTGGTCGGCTCCAAAATTTCATCTGCATCCTCCTGATTACCGAGTCACGTGGTCTCAAATCCAAATTCGAAAGAACATCCACCTCTTGTTACTCGAAATCCAAATCCATC